AGATAGAATGAAAGAGAAGTATTTTCTGAACCTAGGGTGATGTAGGTCTTTGTTGAGTTTCCTCAGCTTTTAGAGTATGATAAAGACCAATTTATATTTTGGAATAAAGAAATATCTGGAGAAGCTTCCATGACTTCTAGAAGAAACAAATCCACACTTCTGTGATAAGGATCTCTGAGAATTGACAAGGACTTAGGGCAAGTACAAAATGAGTAGAATAGGATAGGACAGGGTTACCATGGAAAGCAATCTTTAGACGTCCACCTGTTTTGTATCTAGGCAGAATATCCCTGATGGAACTATGAAAATGGGCTTCCAGAAGTCATGTTCTCTAAAATAACTCTAACAGTTTGCTAGTTAAGTAACATACCAATGTACTGAAGACGTTCAACCCACTGACAAGGAAGAGGAAACCAGTGGCCCTTGTTTCAGCTTGAGTTTTCTGGAATATTACATCAGTCTGGGGTTGCAGGGTGTTATTCACTATCTTGGCTGTGGCACGGATGATACAGCTGGGTCCAAAGGATGCCTAGGTATAGGTATCTCTAGAGCATGAGTGCTCAACCCTCATCCCACAGGCCAGATCCAGCCCACACAGCCATATCATCTGGCCTGTAGTGCTTCCCTCAGGTACAAAATATTTGGTAGCAGGGAAGCAGTGGCAGCATTAATTGCTGCTCCCCTACTGCCAAATTTTTGGATCCATGGGGAACTCTGCAAGCCAGACAGTTTGGGCCTGAGTGCTAAACTGGGTGTTCAGGGCACCATGAAGCTGAATCCCAGGAAGTGGAGCACAGTACTGGCACCCAGGGCCAAGTGGGGGCAGTGTGCCATAGCAAGGCCCAATCCAAGCATGTGCGACTGTGGGGGGACCCTTCCCGATGGACAAGGAATGGTCTCCAACCTTGCAGGAATCCCAGTATGCAAGGCCAGTGCAGGGCCCAATCCAGGTGTAAAGAGGCTGGGCCAAGGCATCACGTAGCCTGATCCAGCCCACAGACCCGCCCTGAATCACTCATCTGCCCCATAGGGACCAAAGGGTTGAACACCACTGCCCTAGACAGCACATCCTGAACAGCTCTGAGTCCTAGAAGGACAAGTATTCCATCATGGCCTGCACCCTTCTTGGGATGCTTGCTGATTAATGCATAGTCAGTGTGCTGACCATGAATGTAACTTTGACAGCCATTGCTACCTGCAAGCCTATCTTGACCACGAGTTATTTTCTTACTCTTGTCCCATTGTCATGAGGGGACTTTATAGAAAACCTTTGAAGAAAGCTTACTGGGGAAGCAGAAACAAACCATCCCAATGTGCAGGAAGACTAGCAAATATGGCAGAAGACCAGCTTGGTTTACTTGGGAATTCTTCAGTACGCTAAAACACACAAAGGAAGCTTACAAACAGTGGAAACTTGGAAAAACAACTAGGGAGGAGTATCAGAGTATTGCTCAGGCATGCAGGGATGAAATCAGGAAGGCCAAAGCGCAACTGGAGTTGCAGCTAGCAAGGGACATAAAGGATAATAAGAAAGGTTTCTACAAGTATGTCAGCAACAAGTGGAAAGTCAGGGAAGGTATGGGTCCCTTATTGAATGGGGGAGGCATCCTAGTGACAGATGATGCAGAAAAGGCTGAAGTACTCTATGCCTTTTTTACCTCAGTCTTTACAGACAAGGTCAGCTCCCAGACTACTGTGCCTGGCACCACAGTTTGGAGAAAAAGTGAGCAGCCAACAGTGGTGAAAGAACAGTTTAGGGATTATTTAGAAAGGCTGGACGTGTATAAGTACATGGGGCTGGACACAATGCACCTGACGGTGCTGAGAGAGTTGGCTGATGTGACTTCAGAGCCACTGGCCACTATCTCTGAAAAATCACTGCAATTAGGAGAGGTCCCAGACAACTGGAAAAGGGCAAATATAGTGCTCATCTTACGAAAGGGAAAAAGGAGGATCCAGGGAATCAAAATGTTTCAGCATTTTAGATACTTAAGGTCTATTTATCTTATACAATTTGTGTGTCAGAAGAACCTAGGTTGGGTGACTGGAAGCAGTGGAATCTGAATTGTTTTACTGCTGGTATTAAAATCACTGGTGTCAGCCACAAGGTTTAAGTGGTTCTGCTAGGTCCTCATTAATGGTAAAGGCAATCTTGACTGGGCCTGAAGCTGACAGAATACTAAACAACTGGCAGAAGTTCGGGCATCATTCAAATTTGCTTATCCAGAGTCTCACCAATATGCACAAGCAGCTCCAGTTCATGGAACAATTTAAGTCATCTGATACCAATGCCCAGGACACCACTTCATTTCATAACAAGAGTGCAATGGAGTTCCCCCCACAAGAGGAGTGCTTGTCTGGGACCCTCTTGGCCTTGTCCAGTCTCCAAGTACCTAAATGTTTTAAGCAGCAAAACAGACAACTCTTCTTCAAGCAAGGCATTTATTGAAGTAAAGATTACCAAACCAGAGGTTCTCTGCCTTTTTTAAAGGCAGAATTAGTTCTTCTGGTCCAAGTCCAGCCTGCACGACCCTGAACATGCCCAGTTAACATAGCTCTTCTCTCTCCTATTCACCTGACAAGCAAGGTTCCCTCTAAGCTGTGCGCATGCACAGCCGCACACAATAAAAAACGCTGCTGCGCAGTAACTTTTTAAGGCCATGCACCAGGGCTGGCACGGGACACTTACTGCTTGGTTGTGCGGGGACTGCTCTGCTCTACTTTGCTCCTCACCGGCATTCCCGCAGGGAGAGAGAGCGCAGCCCCAGCCGGAGCAGCCCGTGAGGGGCTGGGCCGCCGATCAGTTGGCAATCATCGCCCCCGCCCCTTCCTCCTCCATGCCAGCAGCACAGAGCAGGCAGCGGCTCCTCCCTGAGGCAAGACAGAGGCAGGGACCAAGCCAGGCACCACACGGGCTGCACTGGCTCCAGGGAATTGCTCCAGTCCCCAGCCTCTTCAGGCAAGCTTCACCCCAAGCCCCACTGGCTTCACCCTAATCTTAGCTTTCATCCCTGTGCCGCAAGCCCCATAGCTCCCACACCAAACCCCAGCAGCCCCACGGGTCTTCCGCACTCTGCCTGCTCCCTGCCTCTGCGCCTTGCTGCAGCCTTTGGAAGCGATGACATGTGCCTCGCTGCCTGATCTGCCCAGCAGCAGGATGCACTTGGCACCACACCACTTTCAAAGGCTGCAGTGAGGCACGGAGGCGGGGAGCAGCCTGCACGTGGGTCCAAGAGACATGACAGGGAGGTACACACACTTCAAGTAACAAAGGTACTGGAGACAAAGTCAGCTCTTTGGTAACTGAAGACAGACAACTCAAATGCTTGCCCATATTTAAGTATTAATTAAGTCTTAATCCTGGCCACACTGACATGATTACAAGGTAGCATGTGGGTATTACAACTAGTTTCTTCTATTTACAACAATGCAAATTAAAAGCAGAATTGGGCCTTTAAAGAAAAACATCTAACAAGATAATAAATATACTGAGACAAACATTAAAGAACGCATCTGGTACACAGTGTAATATTAAATATTAGAAGGGGAAGCAGGACCAATTAGGGAATGGACCGAAGCAACGCACTCACAGACCAAAGCAGCGTGCTCATGGATTGAAGCGGGGCGTTCATGGATCGCTACACCTTAGAGGGAACATTGCTAACAAGCCCCAAAAGCTGCTCTTTGGACTCTTCTCTTCAGCCAACTGCCTGCTTTCTTGAAACTGCTCCATCCATTGTCATGCTTATCTCAGTATCCACCCTTTTATACTTCTGGGGCATCTCCTCCAAAGGATGAGTACACCAAGCTCATTTGGCATGTCAAAACAGCTATTGAAGTCCTTTGTTGCTAGGTCAGACAAAATGGATTTTCAGTAATTAGGGTCCATGATGTTAATAGCACTACCTATTAATCCCCGATTCACTGTGTACAGACTCATCAGGGAAACTGAGGCATACAACATTATTACAACATGACATATTTAAAAGAGGATTATTACAATAAGAACATAAGAACTGCCAAAGGTGTTCAGACCAAGGGTCCACCTAGCCCAGGATCCTGTCTCTGAAAGTGGCAGGAGTGGCCTTAGCAGGATAGCATATGAACAAGTTATATCCTGATCTATCCCCTATCCATTACAATCCCTGGCATCCATGATCATTGGTTTTGAGATGCCAGACAATGCATTTCTGACTGTTCTGTTTAACAGTTAGTAATAGATCTATCCATGGGGATCTTTAAGAAGAGGCTTCATGACTACCTGGCTGGACTCATCTGAGTCCAGTCTTTTCTCCCGCCCAGGTGGGGGGTCGGACCTGAAGATCTACAAGGTCCCTTCCGACCCTACTTCTATGATTCTATGATCCTCCATGAATTTCTTTCTTCAGTCCCTTTTCCAACCTGGCTATACTATCTGCCTCTACCACCTCTTGTAGTAAAGAGCTCCACTAATGAAGAGTTCCACTATATGTTACATAAAAAGACCTTCTCTTGTTAGTTTTAAACCTGCCTCATGATAATTTCAGTGGGTGCCCCCCAGTTTTAGTATTCTGGGACTTCATAAAAAACAGTCCCCTGTTCATTGTTCATACTCTTCATGATTGTATAGACCTCTATCATGTCCATCCTCAGTCTTCTACCTTCCAGCTGAAGAGTCCTGGCCTTCTTAGTCTTTCCTGGTATGACAAGATAAGATAGCCCACATTCCTAAAACTCAGTTTCAAATAGACAAAATAAAGTATTGTGCTATTTTTTGCAGCTGGGCACTTAAACAAGATTTTTTCCCCTCAGGCCACACAGGAAATCTGTCACACACACAGAACTGAACTTAGATCTCCTAAATCACCAGTGTCTTAAGAATGTCATTCCTCCACACTTAAAGACAGAATTTGACAGTGCCATTTTTACTGCTACTTAGGAGTAATAGTAAACAAATTATTCATTAGTAATGGATATTTTCAGGTACTTCATCAATCTTAGCCCACATTAGAGTGACATACCCATCATGTCTACTTTTCTTAGCAGATAAATCATCTCCTGTTGCAGGTCTCCTCTTTTTCCTTGGAGGCATCACTTTACTAAAGCAGTCTGATGAACTGCAAGATCGAAGACTTCCTATGGAGGGAATAAACACACCAGACAAGGAATGAAACAGCTCAAAAACAGGGAACTAGGTCCATTACTAGGTACATTTGAGAAAAATTAAAGATTAGCAAACTGACTTGAATTAAAAAACTTAAATTTTAAAGTTACAAAATACTGCATCTATCAAAAGAAAATCTATCTTGTTTTTATGTGATGGTATTTCAGATATTCTGACAAGTAATACAAGAACAGACTGCAGTTTCTTGTACTGTTTTCAAATCTATTTAATATAAATAATGACCATGAATCTCTTCTTGAGTCAGTCTGTTTCAGAGCCTTAGAGAAGCAACTCTTGGTGCTTTTTCAAACCAGAATGTCTGAGTTTTGCCCATCACTTTTTGAAATAAAGAGCAAGCCCAATAACTAAGAGATAATATTTCTTAGACCCACCCTCTCCCATTTAATTTCTGAGACAAAAAGTTCTTTATCTGTAGCTCAGAAAGAGTAGGAAGTGCTTTATATAAAGGGGCTACCATGAGAGAGCACTGATATCACTTTGCTTTGGCTGCTCCACTTATCTTAGCAGCAACACTGTCAAACTTTAAAAAGAGTCTGTCCAACCCATATCAAACAGAAATAAAGCCCTCACATGGAACTGAAAAAGTTGGAGGACAGACAACATGAGAGTCATTACAGCTCTGAACATCAGAAAAAAAAACAAATGGGAAAATGCAATAGGGAGGGTATGAAAACCACAAAGGCAAAAAGATGTCAAGTTAAAAAAACTGCAAAAGAGGATCAGATCAATCTTTAATTCACCTTCTCTATACCTCTTATTACACCCAAGATTATTCATACTACTGTATAACCTCATATAATCCTTTAAATGGGTAGTTACTTACTTGCATCTTAAAAAGCAAAAATAAAGTTTTATGGCCCTTTTAAGCCAACACAAAGGCATAGATTTTATTTGGATACCCAAACGTCATTAACAGTCTAAGGAAATCTGGCTAATGCTTATACTGATGTTTACATATATAGAGATGCCATCATTTGTACGGCATAATACAGCTTTCTGTTATATTCACCATACAGTAAGGTATTCAAGCTAGCTTTCTGTATGAACATAAAGTGGCTTGGTTTCTACTGATCAAGCTTTTCTACCCATTATTCTTTTCTTGGCCTTGCTTTTATACACACTGTTTGAGAGAGAAAGAAACAATTTTCTTTATTTAAAAAAATTTCCCTAGCTTGTGATGTTACACTCTCCTTCAAACTTTGACATTGCTTCATCCAATATTAAAGTTAGAATAGTTTTGCTATATTTGTATCATTCCCAGCTCATCTGCATGTAAGGATTAGAATGTAACAGCTGCTGCCCTTTGGAAATGGCTCCAAAAACATATGTATCTGTACCCTCAGGTGCCCAAGAGGTTAGTAGGAGCTTGTCCCTGGTTACAGATATTAGAGAAAAGCAACACAGTTCTAGAAAGATCACCTGAAGTACCTTATTATGAAAGGAAAATAATAAATTAAGATTTTTTTTTTTTTTAACTATTAAATGCATCTGAAACGGAAAACAAATCAAGGGACCGTGTCTAAAGCTCCAATAGACTTAAAACACTTAAGAAACTGAAGTCATTACGTTACATAAATTTGTGGATTTTGATTTGCACAATCTATACATTTTTCTTGACTTTTTAAAGTCACATTCCAGCACGTTTTTCCAAGAAAAGGAAATATTAACACTTGCATAAACTGAAAATCTTAAGATGACAGCAGGACTGAACACCTGGTTAGAGAAGAACAAGACATCAAGACATACGAATTCTACCCCAAACAGTTACTTAACAAATGAAAAAAGAATACTTAGATCATTTTAATATGACTAACATTCAAGTGTATTTTAGCCAACAAGATGGTAACTGATGGTTGACCTATAGCATCTCTTCCAGAAAAAGACATAAAATATTTATTTATAGATGACAGAAGCTAGAACATCCCAGGTGAATTGTTCCAATGGCTAGTTACTGTTCGTTAAGAACTTACACTTTATTCTTGGTCAGTATTTGTCTCCTTTCAATTTTCAGCCATTGGGAGAAGAGGTAAGCCCAGGTAGCACATAAATTGTAAGGCAACTACAACAAAAAGAAAATCTGAAGGAGGAATACTAGTAGAGAATGCCCCGAGAGACCAAGGGCCACAGGTAAAGGGAGCATGAAAAGAATGGTTGTTCCTTAAGGATACAATCCTTAAGGCTCAGAGAAAATCCATTCCCTTATGGAGAAAAAGTAGTAGAAGAGTCAACAAAACCCTCCTGGCTAAGCACGGAAGTTGCAGCAATCCTACAGAAAAACAAAGAGGCATACAAACAATGGAAGTTTGGGGAAGCCTCTAAGGAAGCCTACTTGACAACGGCCTGCACTTGTAGAAAACAGATTAGGCAAGCTAGGGCAGAAACCAAACAAAACTAGCTACAAGAATCAAGGACAACAAGAAGTCCTTCTTTAGCTACATAGGGAATAAAAGGAAAACTAATGGGAGCATGGGGCCATTGCTCAATGCCTCAGGATACCTGGTCACTACCACTCAGGAAAAAACGGAACTCCTAAATGACTACTTTGCTTCAGTCTTTCACAAGACCAAGGGGAACAGCATGCCAGGTAGCGCACAGAATGAGCAGGGCAGGATTGACACTGTTCCCACCATTGCCATAGAACTGGTGTATGATCAATTACAGAAATTAGACGTATATAAATCAGCTGGACCAGATGAACTCCACCCAAGACTGCTGCAAGAGTTGGCCGAAGTAGTCGCAGAGCCCCTTTTCAAAAATCACGGGCCTCTGGAGAAATCCCAGAGGACTGGAAGGGGGCCAGCATTCTGCCCATCTTCAAGAAAGGGAAATGTGAAGACCTGTGAAACTACAGGCCAATGAGCTTAACTTTTATTCCAGGGAAAATCCTAGAAACATTCATCAAAAAGGCTATATGTGACAAGCTTGCAGAAAGCATGATACTGAATGACAGCCAGCATGGCTTCGTCGCAGGCAGGTCTTGTTTGACCAACCTCATTTCTTTCTATGATCAGGTGACTCGTCACCTGGACAAGAGAAAAGCAGTTGATATCATATCTTGACTTCCAGAAAGCCTTTGACCTGGCACCCTACAAGGTACTGATCAGAAAACTGGAAGACATCAGGCTCAACTGTGGGACCATTAAGTGGGTGCGAAACTGGTTGCAGGGTAGGACACAGAGTCCAAATGAATGGATCGGTGTCCTCCTGGTGAGATGTGGGCAGCGACATATCCCAGGGGTTGGTACTTGGCCTAATGCTGTTCAATATCTTCATCAATGACTTGGAAGAGGGGGTGAAAAGCCCATTGACCAAGTTCACAGACAACACCAAGATATGGGGTTGTGCGGACACACCTGCAGATAGGCTGCAGATACAAGCAGACCTAGACAGGCTGGCATGTTGGGCAGAACAGAACCAGATGAGGTTCAACACAGAGAAATGCGAAGTGGTGCATCTGGGAAGGAAGAACCCCCAGCACACCTACAGGCTGGGCATCGCTAACCTGACCAGCACTACAAATGAAAGGGATCTGGGGGTAGCAATAGACCCCAGCATGAATATGAGCCAGCAATGAGACGCAGTAGCCACCAGGGCCAATAAAATCAATCAATGAATCTCCAGTAAATCCAAAGAAGTGATTCTCCCACTTTACTTAACATTAGTGCAGCAGCAGCTGGAGTACTGCGTCCAGTTCTGGGCGCCGCACTTCAACAAGGACGTGCTAAAGCTCAAGAGGGTCCAGGGAAGGGCCACCCACATGATCAGGGACTTGCATGGCAAGCCACATGAGGAGAGACTGAGGGATCTTGGATTCTTCATCCTAAAGAAAAGAGGGTTGAGAGGGAACCTGATTGCTGCTTACTGCTATATCAGAGGCGTACATCAGGGGCTCAGTGAACAACTGTTCACCAGGGCACCCTGGGGGAAAACTAGAAACAACAGCTACAAACTCCTGGAAGATAGTTTCAGGCTGAACATAAAGAAAAACCTCTTTACAACTAGCGTGTCCAGACTATGGAACAAGCTCCCCTCAGAGGTGGTGCAATCATCTACCCTAGAGGTCTTCAAGAGAAGAGTGGATGGTCACCTGGCTGGGACTGTCTGACCCCAGATGTCTTTCCTGCTCATGCAGGGGGCTGGACCCAATGATCCTTCGGGGTCCCTTCCAGCCTTATTATTCTATGATTCTAATGTATGTCCAAGTACTCTTAAAGAACAATGCCTTGTCAGCTACCATGTCTGTTCTTGAGATTATTAGTTTTATTTGGACTAAATTTTTGACTGAACTTTACTGAATGACTACCTACAAACTACAAGAAACTACGAACACAGAAGTTTTGTTTTAAAAATGTTTTATTTTTATTTTTGGATGATGTTCAATGTCATGGGTTTTAAGTATTTTGGTTTAATGGATCCTTATCTGGTTTCTCTATCTGAACATAAAGTCTATCAGTTCTTTTAAAGCAAGTGTTAATAGAGTTTGTTCACTTACCGAGGAATTAATATGAACACTTCCTGTGCAGACTGTCTTGTTTTAAAGTAATTTCTATCTCCAACTTTCTCTTATGATAAGTTATAGTCTGATTGCCCTCTGAATATACACACAACACCCACTGACTTCAATAATCTCATGAAATTCTTGACAGGAAAATTACTTAACTTCTTCAGTGAAAGAGTTGTAGGTATCTTGAAAGATTCTTACTCCTCAATCTCCACTCACGACTGACAGAATTTTCCTAGTTCTTTATGATTTCTGACACTTGAAGCAAGCATTTGCAAGGCAGAGCTTCCAAGTGGCACCACCAACCCAAAGCCCTGCCAAAGATGAATACTGTTTCAAACACACTCTTCAGTTCCCTCAAATGTAGAGGAGAGGAAGTTCTCAGAAATAAACACTCAAGATAATCAATTAAGATCTGAAAAGGACACAGAAAAGCAAAGTGCAAGATAT